GAACTTCAAAGCCTTCTGTGAGGTAGTCTATTATTCATTTCCATTTAGCAGATGAAGACATCGAGGTTCAGTGAAGTTCCGTCAACACTGCAGAAGTGTCAAAGCAGCCTGTACTCGAACCCATACCTCCCAATGTTAAATACAGGGGCCTTCTCACTTGTCTATGACAAGTAGATGAAGAAAGGTCTTCTAATAACAAAGGTTCTAGTCCTCACTCTCTTCTGAGAAACATGCATGCTTTCACATCTGTCTACGGCCACAGCAAAAGTAGCACTGTTGTACCATCTTTCTAATAGGCCTCTATCTCCCCTTCCCCCGCCCCAGAGCCACAAATGTTCCTTTTTTCACAGAATCCAATTCCTATGGAAAGACCATATGAAGAGGGAGGAAATGACATATTCCCTCACATATTTAGGACATACTAAAGTGTGATTTTTTTCCTTTATTACATATGCAAACATTTTATTACAGGTGTACATTTCTGTTTGGGTTATCTTACCTGTTTAAGGTGGAATTCATCTAAGAATAAATACAAGGGAACTGGGTTCTAGTCCTGATTGCTCTATGACCTTGGATAAGTTGTCTACCCTTTATGGACTTCAGTTTTCCCAGCAAGAAGATGAGTTGGACTAGGTGATCTCTTCCCTCCAGCTCTAACATTCTATTATTCTGTGATATCTCTTTTAGATGTGATGGGCATATTTGGTATGCAACTGTTGGTTGTTAAGTATTTGTTGAAGGAATGATAACTGCAGTTTAAATATTTTGAGGAAGGCTACTGGGATCAAACACAGCCAAGCACATTGTCAAAAGCACTTGGCTCTATTCCACCACTTTTGCTGCAGGGATTTGGAAGAATAACTAAAATGTATGTGTCAACACCCTCTACGTGCTTCTTTTAAATATTAAAAATAAAACTGCAACAAACATTTTTACTTAGTTTGTAGCTCTAAAAATTACTGATCTCCATTTTGCTCTAAAAAAATCTAATTTATTTATTGTATAAATTATGGTAAACAATAGTTTATGGGTGAATTCCCTTGGAAACTAAAGATTACCACATGTGAGCATGTAAGTTATTTTCACATAAAATATTTTCAGCAGAAGGTATTAAAAAACAACTATTATACAGTCTTCTGATTCTTTAACCAGGGTACATTACCTCTTCTTGATCACCTATAATTCCATCAATTAGCCAGTTATTAAACTGTGTTAGACTAGATTCTGGTGACTAGAGTGATACTCAAAGGACCTACTAGAGTGCAGCCTGCTGTGTTAAATAACCCAAAGCAAATAGAAGACCCTTGTCTACTTATATTTCCTCTTGCCTGCTTTTGTATCTCACGATTTTATGTGAATCAAGTGGGCTCTAATCTGCTTCTATATTTTAGGTAAATAGCTTGAGAATGGCTTCATCTTCTCAAGTAAGCTAAACTACAGGCTCTGTGACACCTGTTTTTCAATCAGAAGCTGTTTCCATTTATTTCTTGACTCATGGCTATGTTCCTTATGGTGGTGTTGCTGGAAATCTGATTTATAGATAAGTGGCATTTTCCTCTACTACCTTATCAAATAGTCAAATGAAATACCATATGTAAAGGAGATCTAACAATTATAAAGGAATACAAAACAGCGATCAGATCATTACTTCTGCTACAACTACTATGATTTCAAACTTATCAGAAAAATGACTTCTAAAACTTCCCTTTTATTTGACAAAATAATCACTGAATATACTTGAATTTTCTTAATATAAGAATACGTGAAACGTACATTTCTACTATGGAAGATGTGCACATATAGATGAATACAATAAATCTTGAGGCACTTAAACAATTTGAATATTCTAAAACAAGAGGCCGGAGAGGCTCCCGCCCCCTCTACTGTGCTTGCCAGCTGTGAGCCCGGGTTCTGGTTGAGTGGCGCTCCCCCTGGGGGAGTGCACCGACCACCAGGGGGCAGCTCCTGCATTGATCATCTGCCCCCTGGTGGTCAGTGTGTGTCATAGTGACTGGCCGTTCTGCTGTTTGGTCAATTTGCATATTAGCCTTTTATTATATAGGATATTTAATACTATGTCGCTTGTATTTTAACAGGAGAATGACAATCTCTTCTTATGTGAATTTTAATATATTCAATGGAATCATTTGAGTTTTGGAATCATCTCATATTTAAGCCATAAAACAAATGACGTGCTCTTTCCCATTGTTTACAACAAATGCTCTTATGCCTACATTCAGACTTAGGGAGAAAACCTCTCCTCTCCCATCCAAGTGTTTCTGCACAATGGGCAATCTGCCTTCACTTCAGGCCCATTGATGCTGCCAGTTGATAGAATCCTTCAGACACAAGGGAAATCTCCCTCTGTCCTGCTGATCCAATGAGGGATCCGTGAAGTTGATAACACTAACACTGCAATCAGTTAGCTAGACACCATTCCAAGAGCAAATGTCTACAACCCGAAACTTTTATAATTAAAAAAAAATTACAGGAAATTTTAGGATTTCTTTGGTCGTCTAACATTTATTTCATGAGAAAGTAAAAACTAAAGTTGGCACAATTTATTAGTATTACTAAAAATTTTACATCATTTCTTAAATACATCCACATTATATCTAATTCTAAAAAACATTTACTACTATACTGTGATTGTAGAGTTTATATGACTTGTTAAACTTCACATCTCTGGAACCTTTTAATTAAGAGACCTTTGTTAAATCTTAGGTCTTGCTTCCCTAACCCAGGCTTTTAAAATAAAGAATGTATCTTAAAGGCTTCCATTTCCATGACAATTTGCTTGGTAGGATTTATTTGCAGTTATATCACAGGAAGAAATTGGCTTCTGCTGTCTTAGGTGCAGTTCATTAAGCTTTTTTCATATTTAAGTTTGAGCATGTGTTATTTTTGAATCAAACTTTTTCTTCTTGATTGCACCATCACCTCCACTGTGTAGTGCTGCTATAAATGAGTGCAGAGACCTCATAAATTAAAAGCTATAAATATTGCCATAACAGGTGAAAAAAATCATAACCCAAGACAATAACACTTTGTTACAATTCACACAAACTCTATCTCCAAACACATTATGTGCTAGTGTTCTATGATTTATTTTATTATTTTTTCCAGAGACCTTCTTAATATCTTTCGTGAACTATACCTCAAAAAATAAGGATCAGCAACTTTAAAAATATGGTTGAGAATCTGTGAATCCCTTGAGATATCTTTACATCATATCCAATCTTGTCCTGATTCTTCAGTTTGGGACACTTGCACTAGAAACTATGACTGTGTTAAAACCACTTTATCTCTAGTCTCTTCCCATTACATATTTCTAGCCTAAAACCAAAAAGTCATCTCTCCAGAAAAAAATCTGAAAGTTTCATTGTTTTGCTTCAAAGCCTTATACAACTTCAAAGCTATATTCTGTACAAAGAACAAATTTAACTTCATATACAACTAAATCCTTTAATCTCAGATCCAAACTACTTTTTAAATCTCGTTTCCCACTAAACTACTCAACCTTCTCAATTCTTCTTCTGCAATGCCAACCTCACCAAATCAGAGCATTTACCAAAGACATCGTGAACTTTGCCCCTTTATACTTTGCTTACATTATTCCCTCTGCCTGAATGTTCTTCTCTTTCTGATTCCTCTAAATCCCCACTCAAATAGCACTTTCTCTATGAAATTTCCTAGTTCCCCCTCTCCAATAATTTGATAAAAATTCCTCTGTATTCCAATAGGTCCTTGATCAAAGCTTTATTTTAGTACTTCTCATACTGCATTACTTAAAAAACAAAATAAAACAAAACAAACAAAAAAACCACACCCAAACATGTGCTTTCCCATCTAATTTCTTAACTCCTCAAAGGTAAGGGCTGTGACTTCTCTCTGAATTCAATTAGTACTTGCTGACAAAATAGAAAAGGGAATCCTGTGTGATATATTCTTTCTCCAGCAATGACTTAGAGCTAATACTTCTGATGGCTAAGGGACTAATCATTGATCAATGGATTAGGCAGAATGATGCAGATTATCTGGTTACCTATGTGTAGACTTTCTTTCTGCTACCTAATTCTGCATGTTCAATGAAAAAGATAAATTATAACTACTGCCACAGCTGTACTACACGGTAGGGGGGGGGGAGAGGGGGAGAGGGAGAGGGAGAGGGAGAGATAGAGATATCTTTCATTTTATTTACTACAAACTGTAATATAAGCCACATGAGACTAGAAGGCCCTCAGCTGTATAACAGCATCATGGGCTTATGTAAATCATTTGATCTGAGACTTAATTGAAAAATAGGACTATTAATGCTTTGATTGTCACAAGGCTGTGTGGCCAGACTAGACTGAGGTATCTTCAATTCTAAGATCTATGGTTCCATCCATCCATCCATCCATCCATCCATCCATCCATCCATCCATCCATTCATCCATCCATCCTTCCTTCCTTCCTTCCATCCATACATCCATCCATCCATACATCCACCCAACCACCCACCCATCCAGCCATCCACGAATGCTTGAGCTTTCTTACAGCTCTAATACCTACAATTCTACATCTATGAAAGTTGGATTCAAATAAAATGTAAGAAATCCCAAACATTCTGAAAGAATTTATACTGTGTCAAAAAGAATGGCTCGAGGGATGTACAGAATTGCAGGTAACAAACTCATGAATATGAAGCGCATTTCTCCAGTTGGTACTTGCTTGGGTGTGCTCTTTATGCTTGTGTTTAGTTTCCCTATCTGGATAGCTTGGGATGTCACCTTTAACTTAAAAGGGCCTAACAGGCTGACTGATAAGTAATTTTGAAAGATTTGGAAAATAGGCAGGATGAATAAAATTCTAAATCATATATGAGAACTGTCTGTCGTGAAAGTATGCCAACAATAGTGACATTCTTTCACACTTATGTATTTGTTCAGAAAAAAAGGAGACCAAACATCTAAAGAAACACATAGCTTTGACATGTCAATGACAATTGCAGAGTCTACCTTTGTTTCTGTTGCATGGGTTGTTGCCTCATAGCCATATACTGCATATCTTCTTGCAGACGATTGAGAGGGGAATCTGGCTTGACACGAATCCCATAGTAATGGTACTTGGAGTTTCCTCTTCATAAAAGAACAACAAACATTAGAGACACAAAAAGTCATTAATCATATAATATAGGATGTCCATATAACTTCATTTGGAAAAAAATATAAAAGCAGCATATTAATGTTATATATTTGTGATATGTTCTAGATACTTATATATTTTGATGGTGAATACATTTGAGGAATCAAAATAAGATTCTAAATCCACTGGCTCAAGGCCCTAAAAAAAGTCCTTATAAACTTTCTCTTAAATATTGTTAAATAATCCACTTATTCCATTTAAACTACATTTTATTTTAAAATTTATGTTTTAAATTTAATTTAGAAAGGGTAATAGTGAGAAAAAATTCTGGCCAACAAAAATTTATTAACAGGATAAAGGATTGAGCACTAAAGAATAATTTATAATAAAAAGTTTATACAGAACCAACAGAAAAAAATCTTAATTCTACCTTTCTTAGGTAAGTTCTACATTTTTCAAGTTCTATTACTGCAGGGATGATGAAGATAACTTCACTGATGCAAGATGTTGTGGAGAAGTCTATTATATTTAATATTTTGAAACCTAAAAAGAAGCATGCATTTACTCATTTTGAAACATTTTATTAGTCTCTGTTTTTATGGGTTTATATTAGTTTTGCAGGCTGAATAAGATGTGTCACAACAGACATGGGGAAATTTCTCTGTGAAAATGTTAAATTTCCACCTGGAATAAAAATGTCACCATTACCCATGCTCAGGAGCAAGACCATATTTGTTATTAGAAATGACAAAGTTTAGCCCTGAATGAGATGTGAAATTCTTGCAAATATAACATTTTAAATATGTGAATTTTTACAAAGAGAAAATAGTTTTTCATAACCCTATATATAGCAAGACATCAGTACTCTTTCAATTTTTTTCTTTCATTTATAACAAGAAATGCAAGGGGAGTGGATTAAATATTTTATATAAAAACAGCACAATGTACAGTTGATTTATTATAGAATTGTACACCTGAAATCTATATAATCTTTTTAACCAATCTCACCTCAATGAATTCAATTAAAAAATAAAATAGGAAAATAAATAAATAAAAGTTGTGGGAGAATTTCAACATGAATATCAATGGATATCATTGAATTATGGTTACTTAAGTTCAACAATGATAACCAAACAAAACAGAATTTTACTTCCAAAATTAAAGAACATATATTAGATGAACCCTAAATATAAGAAAACATATTAAAATTTTGTTATAAATAATATTGCTAGCTTTAAAAAAATGTAGGGCAGCCCTAACTGGTTTGGCTCAGTGGACAGAGCGTCGGCCTGTGGACTGAAGGGTCCCGGTTCGATTCTGGTCAAGGGCATGTACCTTAGTTGCTGGCACATCCCTAGTAGGAGGTGTGCAGGAGGCAGCTGGTCGATGTTTCTCTCTCATCGATGTTTCTAACTCTTTATCCCTCTCCCTTCCTCTCTGTAAAAAATCAGTAAAATATATTTTTTAAAAATGTAGGGCATCTGAGTACCTATAAAGTTCCTGCAAAATGAACCAGTGTGAAAACCTAATGCCTCTATAAAAAGCTTTCCACTAGCAGAGATTATATTATGTCTCCAAAATCCACTACAGAATAGAGCAAAAAACAAAACCAAAAAATACAAACCCCATTAGTAGCGTTCTCTGTAGGAAGTGGAGAATGACAAGGAGGCGTGGCAGGGTGAGAAGCAGCAGACATTAACCAGGGGATACAGCCAATGACAGGGCTACAGTGTGAAATGGTGTCTGTCTTGTGAGACCACAAAGCAGAGGAAGTGTCCAGTTTCTTACAAATCAGCATTTGCTGGGGTTGGGGCAGGGGAGGTGGTTCTTTCCTTTCCACTGGCCATGGGGCAGGTCAGCATGTCCCATGGGCTTGGATTAAACTTAATTTGTAAATGGGGTCTACAAATGGCACTTTTTCAGTTGACTTGGTTTAGAAACATGGCGATTTCATTTACTTCTTAGCTAGTTCTAAAACTTGAGAAAATGTCTGGTTCTGGTTTGAATGAATTCACCAGTTAATTTTATTGCTGGTTAAATAAAAGTTCTACATACAGTTTGCTTTAAAAAATTATCTGAGTTAATTTGTGTCATGATTTATATGGATTTTCTTTCTGTTCTCTGGTTTAGAGGTAGAAAGGAGAGCTAATTCAGTTTCCATGGTAGAAAGACTCAGTACTGTGACTCCTACCATTGTCAGTTTTTCTATACGAGAGCTCTGCTATCTTCATAACACAGCATTTGTTTAAACTTTCCTCACAGGATTTCTTTTCTCCTTATCCTTCTGGGCTGTGCTTTCCATCCTTAATTATAAATACTATATAACAATTTTAAAAGGAACAGAAGACATAATTGTTACACAGTGAGAAGAGGGAAAAAAGAATACCAGAAAGTAAATGCTGCAATATTGCAATATGCACTTATAGAGTATGGATTCTACTCATTCACAAACCCAAACAACCCTAATTTTGTCACTTTCTATTTTAAAGATGTGTTTTAAGATTTGAATGGAGCTTCAAAATAGGATCCATTGAAATCCCTTTCAGTAACAAAAGAAGCACAATAGAGCTTTAGAATGTTGAATAAAGCCCAGAGTTTCAAAATATTGGCACAGTATGCTTAACTACTGAGCCATTAGCTAGAAGATAAGAGGTTAGGTCCCAAACAATGATTTCTGGGGGGGAAATAATACTCAAGAAACAAAAAGCTTTTTTTCAAGGGACTGAAAACCAGTATACCTAGAAGAAAATACACTTATGAGAAAAACAAACCTCCAGCAATCCGAAAGCAACAGAAATAGTTCACTTGAAATGCAACAGAAAGAAATGATTCACACTTTGAATACATACAGAACTTATAAATCTAATAAAATTGACACACCACTCTTTTCAGCATAAATTTATAAGGTCAATTACTAAGGCTCTATTTACTTTATGAAGAATATTAATAAAAACCCTTTATTAGGATACTATGAAACTGTGACTTGAAACTAATTAAAGGTAGATCATCTAATGTTATATAGTGTAGCACCTTTATTTTTATACTATTTTACTATTTAATATGGATTTCTGTAAGATTTAGGAAATTAAAAAATCCCTATCTTTCTGCCCAGCTACTTAAAATATTTGTGTTATTATAGAAAAGTAAAATTGACCCTGTTTGAGGAAAGTATCTAGGAAGTAGTTTGGAGAAAGGGTTTAAGATATGAAATAACCATTCTGCGTCTAGACTTTTGCAATGCACTGTTCAGCCACCAGACAGGTTTCCTGCCTGTGATCCACCATCAATTGTCACCAGCCAAAGAGTTAACCTGTCTTGTTGCTATTTCTCCTGGTACAGGCAAGTCAAGGAGCAATTGCTGACAGCAACCAAGGAAACTCAGTACAGTCCTGAACGGGTTTTTCCAACAATTGCAACTAGGTTATCAGTCCCTGGTTTCACTGGGCAGCCCCTAAATGTGAGTTGCTTACTGTATAACCTCACCCTTACAGGTCTGCATCTCAAAACTCTGGACATAGAGTCCAGTAGTATTTAATGGTCCTATAAAAAGTCCAATAAAATTTAAAATTTGTGCCATGCAAAAAGAAAAAGTAAAAATGAAGCTCCACAGTTCTAAGTATTATTTCTATCATATTTTGACAAGGAAGCAAACTGAAAAACTAAGAGTCTTCTTCACATTTTTGGCTTCCATGCAATAAAACTAAACTATATTTTTACTCCCATACATGTATGGTTTCATAATCAAGAGTTTAAAAAGGCTAAAATGAGGTTAATTAGGACCATGTCATTATTCAGGGCTTAAAACACCCATATTTTTCAAGTTCACCAAATGATTTTTAATTGCTCTCTAGAAATGACATGAGAAAAACTCAGCTTGAATTTCTTACTCCAGACATTTCAATGTAATTTTTCAAGAGTCAAGAGATAGACAATTTTCCATTTAATATGTTACTTTACTCATCATCTTTAGTATGGTTATGTTCAAAAGAGAAGACAGTGATACATATTAACTTTTAAAGGATCACATGTGAATCTTGCATTAACAGGCTTGTTTGCCACTTTCTATGTGATTGGAGAACCAGCTCTCCTCAAAGCTTTGCTCAGTTGATGTTTAGGAGGATGCCTCAGTGGTTGGGTAGTATTTATTGAGTAATGACCTTTCTTTTCCCTGTGGGGGTTTATATACTGAGGTCATTCTGTATTTCTTCTTTATATGTTGGTATCTATAATCAAGTACTTTTGCTCAAACAATATGCTGAACGACTGTAATTTGAAAAAGAGAGATTAATTTATGATCTTACTTTTCAATACTAACCTAGTTCCCAATCTCCTGGTTCGTAGTCCCATAAAAATGGACCTTATTAATTTTCCAAAAGAAGCAGCATTGACTGGGTCCAGTTTGTGTTCCTGACAGTGTCGCAGGTAGTGGTTGTATAGAGTGCTTCTGGGAAGGCTCACTCCTTCTGCTGTCTCGTAATTGTCCAACAGCCACTGGAGCTAGTGTAAACAAGACAGAGTCAACACGGAGAAACCAGACGATTAACAGGAAGGTCACAAGCTAAAATACAACATCTGAAGGTGCAATATACAGAAATACTTGGATCGCCATCAAGCCTTGTAATAGGGTAAACTGTTGTAATTCAGAGGCCAGTGTGGTCTGACTTTGAAAACTCTCAGAAATGTAAATAGCTGTACATCCCTATGACCTCAGGCCGTCTCCATTCCTACAAACATTCAAACACATGTAGAGAGAAAATATTTTTTTCTGTATTGCTATTTTGAAGACAAACACCTCTTCAGGGAATTCTAATAATTCCATTAACTGGTCTAAAAAATAACTTATAATTGTTACAAAACAAAGTATGTTCCAAACCTAGCAGTATGGCACATATGTTGTTAGAGTTGGCTTGTTATAACACATGAACAGCAGGCTTCCTTGTATGAGTTTTTACATTAAGGTTCTAGTCATTTAATACAATTCTAATTACTTATTTAATTTACTTACACAAGGTAATACAATAATGGCATTAACTACTGAGATAGAATTCTGTAATCAAAAAGGAAAAAAAGTCAGTCATTTCTTCCCCAGAAGGTAAGAAACTCACTAGATTTTGGCTAAAAAGTTACATGTAAAGAAAAGGAATCATTTAAATTTTTCTATCTTAAAACTATGTTGCTTTTTCATAATTTTGGAAATTTTCATAATGCAGTTGGTAAAGCAATATTTTCTCAATCAGGGTTCTTATTTTAAAGTTTTATGTTGCTCTGTGTATATTTTTTTTAAAAAATCTTTAAAGTATAGAATGAGCAAGAAAATTTTAGAAAAGCTAATTAGGTATGCATTATTGAGTTTTAATATTAGAAAAATTAAATTATTAATTTGTTCATTTATTTATTTACAAAAGGAGAACTAAAATAGATTTAAATGACTTTCTTAAAGTCATATATTATCTCAGTACTTGAGTCTGGTTTCCAACATTTCCTGAGCACTAACATGCCAGTTATTATTTCCACAACGGCAACAAGTATTTCACACTACTTGTCTCATCAAAATTTCCACGCCAATTATAAGAGGTATGCTAAAGAGTTGATATTTTACATGCAATTCAATGGAATATTTCTGTACACAGCCTTAACTATTTACTAGTTTTCTTTTAATATTAATTACATGACGGTAAAGATAAATATCTAAAAATGAGAGTTTACTAATTTCTCATGATCAATAAAATGATCTTGTAGACAAATTTTTTTTAAAGACTTTGAAAAAGCAAATTCAATAAAATATTTGAGGGTTTTATCATAAATTGTCTCTTATAAAACTAAAATATAGTACAAAAATTAAAGTTCAATATAAAATATTCTGAGTCTAAAGGTATGTTAAAAGAGTTAAACCATTTTTAAATGAAGAAAAATTTTCACAGAAGGAGTCTGATAATTACAGCAAAGGTTGACTTTAAAATACTCAGAAGTCTAAATGATATTAGTCACATTCAATGAATAATTTAGAGAAAATAAAGCTTTTATTGGATTGGCTATGTGGTTCTCCGCAATGTCTAAACAAGTTAAAATATAGTGAACTGTTCTGCAAACTGATGTTCTTTTTATAAGGGTTTACATTTTTAGAGATTCTTCATTTCTAAACCCATTTTCTTAAAATCCAAATTTGTTTGTAATACATATCAGTGTGTGTGCATACAAATAAACATGTGTACATATACTTACATATGTGTATAATATATGTGATTAGTTGGTTGAAAAATTCCCCAAGGGTGGGTACTCTGGCACCTGTAATTTTGGCAGCAAAGCTGCATCTTACTCCCTTGCTCCTTGTCTGCAGGAGGAGGAACTTTAGTTCCTGCCAGAGGCCTAGACTCACTTTGGAAAAGCAGAAGGAAGTCAAGTGGAAGTAAAAGCCCTGAAGGATGGTGGTGGCTGTGCTGCGCCATGGCTGCTCCAGCAAGGAAGCCAGCCGATGGCTGTACCACCTTGGGGCAGTGCCCCTGCAAATTCACTGTGTACCTGGAGACTGGTTTAGGTCCCACCAGATAACTCTTGAGATTTATCTGGGAATTATAATCTGTGTTCTACATGCCGCTATTTAACCTTCAAGTTTTGCCAGTAATAAAACTGTAAATCAGACATTTGAGTCTAAAACATAGTATAAGGAAGGATTAATTTTATTGTAAGAGAAACCCGACAGTTAAGTATAACATAAAGGCAAACACTTCATGCACTGCCCAAGGATAATTTGATACCTGCTATAAGATATATTTCTTCCTTGGGTATTGTGTTTAATAAAATGTATTTTGACACTAACGTTCAATATCTTTAACATTAAATAATTTAGAACTAAACTATTACTATTTCTTTTATTCTTTTTATAAGGTGTTTTATAAAATATTTATTTACACTTGTGATTTTAAAAATCCATAAAATACCATAGAAACTTTTAACCTTTATCTTTAAAAGCTGATTATCCTACTAATGAACTAACATAAATTCCTGTAAGGGTGGAAACCAAGATAATTGCATCTTTCAACCTTTACATTTAACCTATATTAATCAGGGTAGATTAAGGAAGGTGAATAGGTCCTATTTTTCCCAAAGGCAAATACTGATTGACAAATTAAAAAAATACATCTTGCATTCTCCAATTAACATCTAAATGTAACATTTAGCATTTTCCACCCAGATGAATTCTTATACATTAGGATTCATTTTAAGTTCAGTTTACCGATGATATATATTTTACAAGTCTTATTCCTACCATAACTTAGATTCACAGTACAGCAAAGTCAAGGGTGAGTGAGAATAAAGTTTTGCTTTGATCTCAATATATTTCAGTAGCTAAAACCAGTAAAAGTCATGAAATAATTATTTGCTAGATTGTGAAAAGTGTATAAAAATTAATGTCTAAAGTTTTTTATGTACTTTAAGTGGAATTTTTAAAAAATGCACATGCTAAAGAACATTATGTGAAAATTGGGAACAATTAACTTAAGAACATTTCTACATTCAAATTTATAATCTGAAATATCACAAATTGAATACAATCTAAACCATTAAAGGCCAATTTATATTAATTACAACAGAGAAGGAGTATAAATAAAGTTTTCAATGAAGAGAATTAGAATATTCTAATTTGATTTAGACAGACTATGCATCATTTACCTGTAACATCTTCTCATACAAAAAATTTAGAAATAAAAACATTCAAATAAAAAATTTTATACTAACAGACTGATGTAAAAAGTGAAATTAAAAGTACTATTCTAAAAACATGGAGATAAATGATATCACCCTTGGCTTTGATTTTTCGAAGGATTAGATTGTTTGGAAAAGAAACAGTGATCTACTTTTAATCTGATGGTGGCACAAGGGGAAATGATAGAGTGACCATATATTCTTTCACTCAAATGGTGAGCAGGGAGAAGACCTCTCTCTACCAACAATATTCACACCTACACCCAATGAAGCATACTGGAAAACAAAACAATCTATGTAATAAAAGCCTAAGCGACCATTAAGACAGAACAACCAGAACAACCAGTCGCTCTGATGCGCACTGACCACCAGGGGGCAGATGCTTAATGCAGGAGCTACCCCCTGGTGGTCAGTGCACTCCCACAGAGGGAGCGCTGCTCAGCCAGAAGCCAGGCTTGCGGCTGGTGAGTGCAGCATGGTGGCGGGAGCCTCTCCCTCCTCTGCTGCAGCGCTAAGGAGCAGCGAGCTGCGTGTTAAGGAGCAGCGAGCAGGCAGGTGGTAAGGAGCGAGGGATCCCAGATTGCAAGAGGGATGTCTGACTGCTGGCTTAGGCCCGACCCACACAGGCGGGGCTGAAGGACCCCTCCCCCACCCCAGTGGACGAATTTTGTGCACCAAGCCTCTAGTGCACATATAAGTTCCCAAATAAATGTATACTTGATTGGTAAAGGTACTCAGAATACTGGAGGTAAAATAAGGCCTGTTCCCTTCTACTACTTGTTTCTTACATTCATTCATTTAGCAAATACTTAATGAGCATCTACTATGTACCAGGCACTGTTCTAGACACCAGGGATGCATCAGTGGACAAAACATAAAATCCTTACACTCTTGGAATTTTCACTTATCAATACATACTTTCTGTTTGTCTATAAGATGCTACTAGTGAAATAAATGTAACTATGCTATTATTGTTAATAGAATAAAACATGGCATTTGGTATAACTGTACTGTCACAGGTGGGACATCATAAAGAGTATAAAACAGACAAGTCAGACATGCATTTCAACTTGGATGATAACAACATAATTATAAAAGTAGAGCAGCATGCCCTAACCAGTTTGGCTCAGTGGATAGAGCGTCAGCCTGTGGACTGAAAGGTCCCAGGTTTGATTCTGGTCAACGGCATGTACCTTGGTTGCGGGCACATCCCCAGTAGAAGGTGTGCAGGAGGCAGCTGATCGATGTTTCTCTCCCATCGATATTTCTAACTCTCTATCCCTCTCCCTTCCTCTCTGTAAAAAAATCAATAAAATAAATATAAAAAAAAAGTAGAGCAGCAGTACCCAAGACTCTCCAGGATATGCTGAAAAAGGGATACAAAATTGAATACCCCACTCCATCGTCTCATGTGCAGAAAGATGAAAATCAAAGCAATCAAGTTGGATTTTTCTGAGAGCATTATTTCTGATTTAACCCTAATAGAAATTTTCTGAATTAGTATGAGTAATCAAATGCATGAACAGAAAATAGGAAATCTGTTCAGGTCCATATTCCAAAATAGAATGATGACAAATTTTGAGTTAAAAATCATGATTAAGATCCTTCTTTAGAAACTGATAAATATGGGACACAAATTATCAACAACTTCTTTTAACTTTTTGTCTAATGAAATTGACCCTTTGTAGAAACTGATCAATCAAAGAACTATTACCATAAAGATGAATTCTTGTCTTCTTCAAAGAATCCCACAAACTTCAAATAATTCTATATCAGTCTTGTGCAGTGAGACAACCAATAGATTCTATTAACAATATTTCATTTTTAAAATACCTCTCTACTAAAATTTTTCTACACAACTGAAAATCACCAATTAGGTTAACAGAATTTAAAATACCGTTAGCCGGTGGTTTTCAAGTAGAATGCATGCAGTAGTTTACTCTAGTTGTTAGATAAATCTAACAAGAATTAGGAGCATTACTAACTTCCTAAGAACAGAAAGACAACAGGGTCTTCTGGGCTCAGGGAGAAAGGAAACCTGACTGGTCAGAACACTGATCCTTTCTCTGCTCTTTCCAGACCATTTGTAGAATCATTTGATTGTTAAAGACTTATCTATAAATGTGCTTTTAAATGAATGTAACTGTACCTCAGAAGTGTAATAAAATGAATCAGGACATCAAGAGAAAGATTATTACTGCATTAGCAACATTTACGCCCACTCTTTCTACATACTGAAATGACTCTGGCAGCTGTAAACAATATGGAAGATATGTCATGCTATGTAATAAAAAGAATGAAGCCAAAGCATAACAAACAGTTAACTGTTGTTTATGCAGCTTAATTCACACGTTCATTAACTCTAAATATTACTTCACAGATTCTAGAAGAAAATAATAATTTCAAAAAAACCCCAACCTCTTCGAAAAGTTTCTAACAAATCAACAAATAAAATTATACAAAAATTCTTATGCCCACATTATTGTTCATGAAAATACTAAGATGAATAATTCAAGTTAAAATTAAACATATAATTTACTAAACAATATACCTGAAATGAAAACAAAATGCGAATTGAATATCAAAGCACAACTTAGATTTCTAGATTTTCAAAAAAGATAACTGGAAACATCAGTGGTTTTTTTCCTTGAGTCCCTGGATATTTTGACTAAAAGTGAACAACAGATTCATGTGCCATTTTCAAACCACAAACACCAGTTAGTCACCACCACCCCCAAAAACATATAACCTAATGACACAATAAATTAGTCTTTACCCACAGCCACAGACTCATGCTAACACAAAAAGGATATACTTAAGAAACCTATAAAAGAATGACACATTGCATACAAATTTTCAGAAAAGGAAAAAAATTATATTCCTTAAAGTGTTTAAAAAAGAAGGGTCAAAAGTATGTTATATTAAAAGTTATATCTAAAATTTTCACCAAAAATTGCAGGCATTCTCCAAGTTGGCTAAACTGTTTTTATTTGCCATGATACTTCCTCTTGGAAAAGAAACAAGACAAAGTACTTCATCTAAAAACAACTATGTAAATACATAGCATTTAGTGTTGTGTTGGAATATAAAATTTAAATCTTAAAATTCAAATCTTTAAAAAGCACAGTGAAAACATTTTCTGAGCCATAGGTTTCAGATTTACTGCAAGAATAATGGTATTTCTGAAATTTTATTTTCTATTAGCCAAAGGTTTTAGGTTTACTAAAAGAATAATTATATTTCTAAAATTTATTTTGGGTAATCTAATTTTGGACTTTTCAGTCATGAAATATGAAGAAAATTTTTTAAAAATCATAACAACTTATCTCTAAATTTAAGAATATACATGTTGTCAGTTGGGAGGGAAAACTAATTTTTACTATATTGCCATTGATATTAATTTAGCAGAAGATCTATCTAAAACATTTAATTCATAGGTATATTTACTTACTAGTAAGAAATCAGGTTAACAAAATAATTTTTAATCAGTATTTTCATTGGTTTCTCAAAATTTGAACATTAGATGACAATGTTTCTAGTTCCAGAAAACTATCATCACTCCTCTTGCACTTACCAGTGTTGTAGTGCTGCTGCATCAGATAACAGTTAGAAGCTTCAAGAAATAGTAACACTATTCCTGTTTTGTCTCAAGTATTAGCAATTTATGGCTTATCTACAGCCTCATTTCTTCTTTTGGCCCAGTTTCATTTTTCTTTAGGTTTTAGGCCCTGAGCTTCTCTAAGCAGCTTCCTGCCCATCTTACATAGTCTTTCTGATAAGCAAGTCATTTTCAAACAGTTTACCATTGGGTTTGGCATTAATAATATTTTTTTCCACTTAAAGAATATTACTGGACATACAAGTAGACATAATCGTATCTCTGTCTCAGACGGAGATAGATGCAGATAAGCATTTGCTTCATAGTAAATAAATATTAAAATAGACAAGTTTAAATGTTTAATATTCCCATTAATTACATTTTACAAATAAAATAGCAACTTGTTATTAAACAGTACAAAAACCTAGTCAAGCAGTATACTTGGGACTCTACTTTTTAGATATTCCACTGTACAAAATAGCCATTAAGTGATATAGAGATCTTAGGGGCTGAGAAAGAAAGGTTAAGAAGCAAAATAAATAAGTAAATAAATAAAACAAGCATTTAGAAGCAAGCAACACATGCAGAACAAGCAAGAGATTAGTTTACATGAAGAGGCAACTTACATGGCTGTTGAGAAGAGAGCTTCTGTGAGTGGACAGACCGTCAGACTTTTGCAGCGTCTCAATCGCCATTTCAATCTGATAATAGATGTCATTAAAAAAAAAAGGGCTCAAGACAAGATAGTAATAAAAGGCTCCCCAGAGAATTTTTGATAGACTTTAAAGTTCAATTTCTTCTTGAATGGTGGCAAATGAATATCTCATCAGAACTGTGTGTCCACCATCTTTCCCCACCCCCAGAGAATAAAATAAAAATATGCACACCAATAATAAGTCCAATTACAAAAGTAAACCTTTTTTTAAAAAAAAACATTCTCTAATTATAATCAGAATGGAGACCAGAGGAGCAGGAACCCCAATGGATTTTTCCAGCTCTGAGAAAACATTCTTGACTTTCATAAATCAAGATGTGAGATTGGAAGCTCCCTTCCTAAATTTTCTCCCACCTGAAGAGTATTTCATTTCTGTTCTATTCTCTCATAAAATAAAAATTATGGTGCAGATTTTGTTTAATACGCATTAGTATTTTAATGCAAATGTGCAAAGACACCTTCATTAATGTTCAAAAACTATTAAATCTATCCACCACTCTCTTAACCCTGTATTAAAATTTGGAAGTGGAGGGTCATTAGTATGAACAAACATTAAGATATAATCAGGGTGCCTACATTATGCTTTAGGATGTGGTGGTGAGGAGGAGCTATTATAAATGACAGAAGAAATGGAACATAGAAGAGAAAAATAATTCAGAGCCAAGAAAGAAAAGGGACAACCACAGAAGGTTTCATTCCATGTAATCTCAGCACAGGAGCAATCTAACACCTTAATTAAGTAGCAGGTGTCAATGATATGAGATGTGTTCCCAATAACCTCATATTTAGAGATATCTATCCATCAGCTCCTACTATAAAGCATGTACTATAATTTGGTTCTGAACACTCTGTATTTGGTTATGAGGTTATATTAACAATATTAACTAAAGTTAAATAAAAATCACATTATATTATTTAAGAGAAAAAATCCATATCATTATTTTTATTTTTACCATCGGATCAAATAAATAATTCAATATAAGAAGTTATAAAAATATTTAATCCTTTAAAGTAAGATAACTTATTTATATTTCCATTGGTTATGGACATTAATGATTCCTTGAAATGTTAATAAACTTCCAACTCCCACCACAAAAAAAGAGAAAGTATGGCAATATCCATATCAAAGTTGTGGGTTTTTTTTTCAAATTTCTTAGTGGTGGAATACTTTATACACAGACATTCGGTCTCAAATATAAATAATTTTCTCCTAAACATGAGTAAACAAACATTTCACTGAAATGTTATACTGTAAAATTATAAAGGAGCTCTTAAAAGGGCATCAATAAATGCTCTTCTTTTAAAAGAGAAAACATTTTTAAAAAGCTGAAGTAACTTTCAATCATTTCTAGGAAGCATTTGCTCAAAAGTTTAATTTGCCAAAATACCTACAGTTTCATTAGAGTTTGAGGGAGAAAATTTTGAGGTTAGAGTGCAGTGTACTAAATAAAAATAATATGATCTGTATCGTTTAATTTTATACATTTAGATGAAAGGTCAAAACTATCAGGAATGTAATAGCTGAGCAACAATGAAGGAGAAATCCATGCCTGGGTTTATTAATCAGTAATTTAAAATTGGATAAAAGAGCACTTATTTTTCTGAAGAAAAGTTAGATGATCTGCTTCTATTGCTACGTTGCTACTCTACAGTGATCTCAGACTTCCAGACATTCCCGAGAGGGCCAGGGTATTAGGAAGTGTTCCTCTCATTTTGGGCCAGCTTTTGAAGAGCTTTGAAGGAGTCATAAAGTCCAGAAAATGCCTTGGTTCAAACTGGGCTCCCTAGAGATATGCCGACTTTCTAGAATTATTTGGACCTTGAGAATTTTAGTTCCTTTTGTCCCTTTGTAATACAGAATTTAAAAATGGACTCTTTCTGCCGTAGCTCAGTGGTTGAGCATAGACTTATGAACCAGGAGGTCACGGCTAGATTCCTGGTCAGGGCACATGCCTGGGTTGTGGGCTTAATCTCCAGTGTGGGGTGTGCTGGAGGCAGCCGATCAATGATTCATTCTGATCATTGATGTTTCTACCTTGCCCTATCTCCCTCTCTGAAATCAATAAAAATATATATATTTTAAAAATGGACTATTTCTTTTGGCTGTAGAAATATTCTGCCCTGACTTAGGCCCATGCTGAGTTTGGAGAGGCAAGCAACAGAAGGAGGAAACATGGGAAGATAGGACAAGCAAGAAATAAAGGTTGATTGAAGCGGAGGACCAGCTTCTGAGCAAGTGCACTGGAACCCACTTGGAAGCTCACAGGATCCAAATACCCATGAGTTCTCTGAGGCATTAATTAGTCCCAAGAGAAGCCATAACATTTAGTGACCACCTAGCTAAGATAAGAATTACAGAAAAGCATACAAAAAATACATAACATGTATTTATCATATTTATTCAATGAAAACATTGAAGAGAATTCTTATCTCATGAAAGGATCATAGCCTTGATCCATTTTTTACAAGATAGGTTTAATTTATTACACAGTGACTGTGCACCTATCATATATTACACAGTGTGCAGGGAATTGTGATAAAAAATTCATAACCCAAGGATATTATAATCTGGCAAGAGATACAGGGTATGGCATATGTATGTACAAATGTGAAATTAAACAAAGCCATATGTGTCAAAAATAAAAGAGTAGTTCAGACATGTAGAAGAAAATGAAAACTTCTTTATTCATTAACTTTTGAGGGAGTCTTAGTCTGCTTCTGAAGATGTGATAGAAATTATGACCCCTCTACTTAGAAAAATGTATTTAAGAACAGTCTACAAAATTTTAGATTCATTTTCTCAGAGTTTATAGACTCCCCAAATTCAGAACTCAATGCTTTAAAAGATGGAGAACTCTCAGAAGTGGGGGTTAGGACACTGTAGAAAGGAAGAATGGACTCAATAAAGCTGGGAAGCAGGAAACACAGTTTGTGAAATGTCGAGGAGTCCAGTTTGTAGGGTGTGATATATGGGAGTGGTGAGAAGTGAGGCTGAAATAACAGGTTGGAATTAGTTACTGGTATGTAGGAGTCAGGAAAGAAGAAATGTCATTAAGGTTTTAAGGGAAGTGTGGGATGTCTGAAAATGTCCATTTTCAGATAAAGTCAGATGGGTTTTATTAGGTATAACAGACCACGCCTGCCAGTTGAAGGCTAAAATGTGTAAGTCTGAAATGTACCCAATAAATGATTGAATAGAAGCGTTCAGAGGACAAGAGTATGAGAAGAGATTAACATCCATGGGAATGTGTTACGGAAAGTGAGGGCAAAAGAGAAGTTAGAGGAACAATGTAAAATCAGGGAAGAAGAGTAAAAATGAGGCAAATATTTGACATACAGTTATGGAGGATTAATCAGCTGTAATATTCCAAATGGATTATTGGTCTTGTCATAGTTTCATGGGGGCTATCCATATCTATGTATATGAGTAGGGGTTGGATAGAGAGACAGCAAACTATCTAAATAAATCATGATAATGGATTAGGATAAATTTCTACTAGGTCCATTGAAAGTTAAATTAATTTGTTAACTTTTCCATTTTTATGTATTAGATATTTGCATTCAAGCTTCTGGCGATTAAACCAATCTCAAGAAAAAGATGTAAGACTTCAGCATTTTACACCACAAATAAAATAGTGAGACCAGAGTGAACTGGGGAGATCATATGCTTCCAGTTTACGGTAGATCATTCAAAATTTAAGTTCAGTCCTTAGGAAAAACTTAAGAATTCTCCTGGCTAGAAATATACTTAGTACTAAATTACATCCCATAGTACACATAACTTGTCATATTTAAGGTAAGAAATGATAATCAGGTAAGACAGATGGGACATTTGCTTAAAAGTAGGTTCATGGCTCCAAAAGATCACTGGCCCAAATGTTCATCATGATATTCTCATATATCCTCTAAAGAAATGTTTCTAATCTCAACAAAGATATCATTGTAGTTTCATATTATAAAAATGATTCAATTACTAGATTATCAGCTAGTTAGAATTGAAAAGTGATTCAAATTCAAGAAATATGTAGGGTTTTGTTTGTTTTTGTTTTTTCACAATAAAAATAACTTCCCCCACCCCAATATAAAACAACTTACTGACTGGTATGGTGCTTGCTACAATAATGGGAACTTCATCAGACTAGTCGAGTTTCATGAGATTTCATTCCATTTCAATGAACATAAAACCCCGTTTGTATACAAGGTGCATTTAGCTCTGTGTGTGAGTGTGTATGTGGAGAGAGAGATGAAGAGATAGAGAGATGGAGAAATAGAGGGAGGGAGTGAGGGGAGGAGGGAGACAGAAATGTTTGCAAAGATATTTAACAGCCCTGTCAACCAGATTACAACACATCACCACCTAAGTGGTAAGAGGGACACAGTGTATCTATGCATATATAAGGAATGTCTCTTTCACTTTCTCTCCCCCTACATGATTAAAGGGAAGCAGAATGAATTAAATAATTAAGTATTAGTAGAATACATAAGGAGGGAAGGAGAGGAGAATTACTTCTTGCTGATAAGGTTAAAGAGAGAGCACCGGTAAGTAAGGCGGTTCTTTAGCACAGGACTGACAATGCCTGGTATTCCAATAGGGGCACGTTGGTGAACATTTTAGGCAGCATGAAGAAAGGCACAGAGATAAGATGGCAGAATGTAAATTCAAGGAAGAGTAAAATTGGCTGAAGGATCAAGTTCCTTTAGGGATAGGTAAGTTAGACAGATCTTTAAAACATAACATCAATTAAAAAACAAAGTTATTTTTTAAAAAGGAAATAAAACATTGTTGGAAAACTTTTAGAAAGGGAATAAATCTGATATGATAGCACTTTATATATTGAGGCAGGGAGGGTAAGAATCTAGACAGGAAAACACCTTGGAAGCTATGGTAAAAGGAGCTGTGAAAAGAAGGAGTGAATATAAATGTATTTCTGAATTAAAGATTTAAAGGTGGGAAATTTGAGGCAGAAAACTTGGCAGTGCCTTATT